TCATGTGTGTATATTTGTGTGCTTGTATACATGTCTGTGTGCCTGTGTGTATACATGGGTGTGTGCATATGTGTGGCTGTGCTTGTGTGTGTACAAGTGTGTGCATGTGTCCAAGTATGTGCTTTTGTGTGTGTATGAGTACATATGTGTACATGTGTATATACATGCCTGTGATGTGTGTTCATGTGCCTCTCTGCCTTCCTGTGTGTGCATGTGTGTGCTTGTGAATACATCTGTGTGCCTATGTATGCATGTTTATGTGCGAGTGCCTGTGTAAGCACATGTACATGTATGTGCATGTGTTTGAGTGTGTGCTTGTGTGTGTATGTTTGTATGTGTGTGTGTGCCTGTGTGTAAATGTGTATCTGTGGGTGTATGCGCAGGTGTACATGTGTGCACCTGTGTGCATATGTGTGAGTGCATGGGTACATGTGCATGCCCGTGTGTATCTGGGTGTACCTTTGTGTGTGTACGTGGGTATGTATGTGCACGTGCCTGTGTTACCCACTTGCTGCCTTTCAGCAGCTCTCCCGTTGGCTTCCTGTCCCTCCCCCTTGCTCTTGGTCGTTCAGTCTTCCTTGCAGCACGGTCTGACACACACTTTCCTTAATGTTTTCAAGTCTGCATTGGGTTCCTGCCATGTTACCTCTGCAGACCGAGCTCTCTGGTGGCCTCTGCCTTTTCGGCCACTAGCCCCAGTCTTTGTACACAATAGGTGCTCAGTACATGCTGAAAATGGACAGATGGCCACGTGGATGGAAGGGTGGATGGATGGGAGAAAGGACGGAGAAAAAGGAGAAAAGGGAGGGAATTAGAAAGGGGTGGGATGGGAAATGAATGAGGGGAGGGAGGAAGGGGAGAGGGAGGGGGAGGGAGTACTGAAGAGCTAGCTTAGTGCTTAAGAGCACTGGCTGCTCTTGCAGGGGACCTGGGTTTTTTCCACCACCCACATGGTGGCGGAAACAGTGGGAGGAAAGGGAGGGAGGAAAGGGAGGAGGGAGGGAGGGAGGGAGGACAGAAGGAAGGAAGGAGGAAGGGAAAGGAGGGATGGGATGGGGGAAGGACAGATGTGTGACAGATGGACCCTCACAGCCCCCTCCTTACCCCGCCTGCCTCACCTGTTGAAGACTGCGGCCTCATCCTTTCCTTTGGCTGGCACAACGCCTCTTGTAGCTTCTTGGTGCCCAGTGCTCTGGTGCAGGAACCACTCAGCGCTCCACAGTCCAGTGTAGCCCTGCGGCTGCAGCCACAAGAGGCGCATGCACGGGGCTGGGGTGGCCCTTCTGTGGGGAGGCTGTCCAGCCTGGAGGAGTCCAGGAGGAGTCCAGCTGTCTTACATTTATCCGTGTCCACAGACATGTGGGGGTCAAGGTGACATCAAGGGGATTGGGCCCAGAGGCACTGGGCCAGGAAGACTAATGAGCCTGCCACTTGTTTCCTTCTGTCTGAGTTCCAGGCCCCTTGGGCTCGAGAAGCCAACCCCAAACCACCCTGCTGGGCCGGCCCCTGCCAGTTTGGGCTTTTCATGGATGACACTGTCCTTCCCCTGGCGGGTTGGTTCAGCTCAGATATCAAAAGCTGTTGTAATTATTTCCTCCCACAGAGGAAGGCTTCCATTTAGCTTTCTCTGCCCCTCTTATTAATTATCTAATTACAACCACATTCTCCGAGAGAGCAGCCTTTGACTCTGCTCAGGACCACTTAAAAAGGACTAAATACTTGGAGTGCTAGGCGTGTGTGTTGTATTTGTGTAGTGTGGTGTTGTGTGTGTTGTGTGTGAGGTGTACGTGTTGTGCACGATGTGTTGTGTGCATTATATGTTGTGTGCTGTGTGTGGTCTGTACTGTTGTATGTGTGGTATGTTTGTCTAGTGTGTTGTGTATGTGTATTGTGTATGTCGTATGTTGTCTGTGTGTATTGTTTGCAAAATGTTGCATATTGTTTGTGTATGTTGTGTGTGTGTGTTGTGTGCATGTGTGTTTCCGTGCCTACTCAGGGAAAATCTGTTCTAGCCCCTCCAGATCACTGTTTGACTCCACAGGGCTTGATTCAAGGGCTGCGAGAAGCCCCTCACAGGACCCAGGGATCAGGAAGAAGGGCGCTGCATGCCTCGGGCCTTCGTGCATAGGCCTGGCAGTGTGATGTGCTGCCCTGAACACTCGGGGATGGGCCAGATGCCGCTTTGGTGCAGCCTCAGCCCTGGAGCACAGCTGGGGGCCCTGCTCTTCTCTCCCTCGGTGGCTCCAGCATCCACCTGTAGGATGCTCCCAGCATGCTGTTGGTCCCCGACAGAAGCTTGTACCAAGTGTGTGTCCTCCTCACCCTGTGGACCAGCGACATGACCTTGGGCTATGTCCACGCCCCTGTCAGGCCCTCAGACCCCTACCTCCAACCACCACCCTGCACATATTCAGTGAGCTTGAAGTGGGAACAGAAGACAGTGTTGGAAGTCTGCTGGCCCAACCTCCAGACCCCTCGAGGACCTGGACATCCTTCCAGTATGGGTCCTCTCCCTGGAGTACTTCCATCCTGTCCAGTCACCCACCTATACACCCTCCCCTCCAGGAAACTTAGCTCCAGACCATCCTTCACCAGAGGAGGAAAGGCTGCTTCTGCAGAGTGTCCAGCATCTGCATGCACATGTGTGCATGTGTGTGCTCACATATGTGTGCTCATGCATGTACACATGTGCATGTGTGTGGTGCCCCATGGGTCATGGGTGTGTGGAATGTGAGCACATGATCTGCCCATCAACATGGCTACCCACCTGCTGCCCAAGTCTGAGTACTACAAGAGGTGGTGCTGGTGGGGAGGTGCCTGGTGACCCCAGGTTCCTGTACCAGGTCCCCACCAGAGCAGACGAGCTGACCTTGGTGTCAAATCTTGGTGTCCCCATTTTCACTGGCTCGCACGTGTTTCAAAAGGCAGTTGTGATGGCTCAGCAGTTAAGAGCACTGACTGCTCTTGCAGAGGACCCAGGTTCAATTTCCAGCACCCACATGGCGGCTACAAACCATCCTGAACTCCAGTTCCAGGGGATTCCGAAGCTCTCTTCTGACCTCTGGGGCACTGCACAACATGGGTGCTCTCACATACATGCAGGCAATACACTCATACACATAAAAACTAAAATTGTTTTTAAGCAGTTGTATGACCCTGTTGTGATGGAAAAATTCTATATCCTAATCACAGTTGTTGGAGCAAGAAACACAACACAACATAAATCACACACACCCACTCTACACACACAATACACACACCCACTTTACACACACAATACACACACCCACTCTACACACACAATACACACACCCACTCTACACACACAATACACACACCCACTCTACACACAGTACACAGCATGCATACACTCTATACACAACATCATACACACCCACTCTACATGCATACAACAAGCCCATTCTACACACAGCATACAGTACATACACACTATATACACACCCACTACACAGATGTCACACACATCCATTCTACACACACATCACACACACCCACTCTACGCACACATCACACAGCACACACATACTCTAGAGACATTTTATACCACATACCCACTCCCCACATCATCCACAACACACCCACTGTACACATTACACTCCCACAGTTCACAGCATGCACCTCCTACATGTATCCATTCTCCACCTATGCATAAGAGGCTTGTGAATGAGCTCTTGGCAGGTCCCGAGGACACAGGTCTGGCTGCTGTGTTTCTGAATGGGATCATACCTTGTGAGAAATGGGTTGGAATATACAAAGGATTGTTCTTCATATTTTTGAGCAACTTCTTTAGAATCTGCCATTATTTCAAAAACACAAATACAGACTCCCAAGAAGATTGAAAGAGCACTGGCTGCTCTTGCAAAGGACTTGGGTTCAGCTCCCAGCACCCACATGGCAGCTAACAACCATCTATAACTCCAGTTCCAGGGGATCCAACACCATCTTCTGACCTCCATGGGCTTGCATGCACTTACATATATGCAGGCAAAACACTCATACATACATAAAATAAAATAAATCAAGTGATGTGGTCTGGTCAGCCTTCCCCAGCAGCTGTCCACGTCCCTGTATCCTCACCCACTCCTTCCCCAACCCTGGTCAGCCCGCCACCAGCAGCCCCCAACCGTCTCTTTCAGGTTGCCTCACCCCGGCAGCCCACGGTGGGCATCCATCCCAGTCAGCCAGCTACATGGGCATGAGAAGCCATGATCCCTGCTGTGGGGAGCAGCCATCCAGGGACTGGGAACTCAGAGGCCTGCCTCCATACCTGTCCAGCTTCTTGGGGCGGGGGATGATGGGCTAGCTCTCCACACCTATCCAGCCTCAGGCTCCCTCTGTGCCACATGCCCCAAGATGCCGTCCTGCAGCAGCTGATCGCCTCTCCTTACCTTCCAGACCCACCTACGTGTCCGAAGTACAAGAGGAACAGGATGCGTCCACGGCTGCGACTTCCGGCACCTGGACCACCTCACGGCTCCTCCCCGACTCCTCTCCAGCGTGTCCAGAGGGGATTGCAGTGGCACTGGACAGCAGACCCTGGTTCAACCTCCTCCTCAGAGCCAGAACCGTGGGAAGGGCCCCCGCCTTCCTGCTTGACTTTTGTGCTGTCATCTCGCCCTCCTGGGTTTCAGATGGGGGGATTTTAATCTTTCTGGAAAGCTCTAGATTCAGGAATGCAACTGAAGATATATTGGATTGTATTTCCCTCTAAGTGCCTTTTTAATGTATATTTTTTAATAAAACAGAAACGCATTCTTGTAGAATCTGTTTAAACTGGACCAAGGCTCTCAGATCCCCTCCCTACCCAAGACCGCCCAAGATTGTTTGAAGGAAGCCTGGAATTCTAACCTGCACACTCTACTTTCTTTCTCTGTGACCTGCTCAGCTAGCCTTTTTTTTTTTTTTTTTAATATTCCCTGTTTCAGTGTATATGTTGCTTATTTGTTTATTTATTGAGATATTTTTACCAGCTAAGTGACTTCCCCTGCTGTGTATACCGCTCCACACCGGGAACAATAAACCAGCCCGCACACCCCTGCTTTGCATCTCTGTTCTTGTCTCTCCACCATGGCCTAAGAAAGCTGAGCGGGTCACAGGCACGACTATCTCAACACCCCAAAGGGGACAAGAAGGAATGTGAGACATGTGATGCCACACATACTAATAGTTGTAGAAATTTCTAGAAGCCAACAGCACTGCCGTGGTAGCCAGTAGTAACAGACCTGGGCCTGGGAGAACAAGTGTACTAGTAAGATTTCTGTCACTGTGACAACACCCTGGGGAAAACAGCTTAAAGGAGGGAAGGTTTCTTTGAGCCCACAGCTTCATAGCCTGTGGTCGGCTGAGGCCATCTCAGCCCTGCTACTGGCCCCTCTTCCCTGAAGCTGAGGCTCTGTAAGTCATTCCTGCACTTTCTATGAAAACCTGCCCAACGCATTGTCCAGGTCAGCCCCAGCTAGCCAGCGCCTGCTCCCCAAAGCCCTCCCCATGCCTCCCACCAGGTGGAGTTCCTCCCTCTCCCTAAACACAGCACTCAGATTACTTCTCCCAAAGGGCGACTGCATGTTCTGATAGCATCTGCCAGTGCTGCCGGTGAGGTCATAGGCACCTGAGCCTTGAACTTGGTAGCCGAATGAGGTCAAGGATGGGGTGCCTACAAATGCTAGTAAAGGGGAGCCCTGCCCAAACCCTCACAAGGACTGCAGTCTACACTCAAGAAGGAAGATGATGCTGGTGTTTGGTCCCGGAGGCACCTCTGCCAGAGGGGCAAGGAGGCTCACATCCTGCCTGTTGGCCTTGTTACTGTGCAGGAGCCAGCTGCGGGGGGGTGGTCTCCAACGTGGGGGCTTCCAGCTCAGGAACTGCAAGTTCCCAGGTTACCACCCTGAGTCCCCACAGGGTGAAGTGACACCAGTGGCCCCAGGAGCTTGAGGGCAGGAAACTGTCTCCCTCTGGGCTTTCAGAAGCACCAGCCCGACTGGCCCCTTGATCGTGGACTCATGGCTCCCCCAAAATGTAAGAGACTGCATCTCTGCCACATCACAGCACCATCTGTGCTTATTTTGCTGGGGAGGGGGGGATCCAGGCTCCTGCGCTGACTGAAGGAACTAGTGCTGATGTCCAGAAGAGGAGATGGAGACTCTACAGGCTGCAGACACAGGGAGCTAAGGGTGAGGCAGTGAAGATCCCAGTGGGAAATCTACTGACTGGGAAAGGGAGCTTCAGGAGCAGGCTGGTCTCATTGGCAGGTCAGGGCTGCAGGTGACAAAGTTGTAGTTCAGAGGTGAGGTGCATGCTGGAACCACAGTCATGGGGCTGGCAGATGGTCTCCCAGGGCTTCTGGCTGCTCTGCAAAGCTCCAAATTCTCTCCTGAGTCTCCAGACAGCAGTGGCCCTGCCTGCTCCCTCCAGGAAGGAGGTGCTAGGCACACCTGAGGAAAGACGGGTCAGAGCAAAGAAACAGAAAAGGGACGAGGAGGAGGGTGGAGAACGGCAAAGACCCCATCATATAAGTTGAGAGGGAGCGAAGGATGGTGCGGTGCTTCTGGAAGGAAGTGCTCCGCATTCAAACCCTCCTCTCCCAAATTAAGACTACACTTTCTTGAATGAAAACTTCAGCAGCAGTTTTGAAGATCAGCTGCAGGATTCTCACACAGTAGAACCAAAGACGCAAAGCAGCCACGGTCCAGGAATTCGGCATCCAAGAAGCCAGGGGACCCGAGAAGAGAAGAGGGAGCATGGGGCCGGCGACCCTCGGGGACAGAGCCAGAGCCAGAGGCAGGAGATTCCAGATGAGAAAGGTCACCCATGCTGGAAAAGAAGGGGCAGCGTGAAGAAAGGAGGCAGAAGAAGGAGATGGAGGTCAGCGTAGTGTGCTGAGGTTGGAGCTCAGTGTTGGAGTGTTGGCGCAAATGGAGTTATCGTCCTCTCCTGCTCAGGTTCTGATTGTAAGAATTGGAGAGAGGGCGGGGTCGTCTTTATGTCTGGCAGGGTCCCAGCCAAGCACAAGGCCACCTAGGAGGGCTACATGGGCCAGGGGATCCCCAGCCCTAGGGCCAGAAGGAGATTAGGGGCATGCTACGGATACCCAGGTATTCGTCCTAAGTCTCCAGAGACACTGGTGCTCTCTTTCTGGGGCAGAGATAGCCAAGAGCTCGTGGAAACCAGAGTGGAGAGAAAGCAGCCCCCTTACCACCATGGCTCCATTCTGGGGACATAGTCAGTGTTTCCCTGGGCCTATGGGGCTGGAGTGAGGGTCTCACATCCTTAGCATGTGGCTCCAGCACTCTGTAGGCTGTGAATTCAAAATGAAGCCATGTTGGCCTTGTGAGGAAGACCCTGTCCAGAGTCCAGCAGGCCACTATAATGTGCCTGGATTCCACTTAAAGAGACTTTGGTAAGAAGCTGTCTGCCAGGTTCCCAGAGCTACAGTGAGCAGCGCACAGGCCCAGGGCGCACTCTGCAGGCCCCTCACCTCCCTGTAAGAGGCCACCACTTCAGAAAGACCCCGGCTTCCCTTTCCTCTAAGAACCCTCCCATCTCCTCTAAGAACACCACACTGATCAGCAGGCAAGGAACTGGTGTGGTAGGTGAACTCAGCAGGGTGAAAGGTAGAGGGTAGGTCTGGAGTAGATGGAAGACATCTAGGCTCCTTCTCACAGCCTTTCTCAACGAGCTCCATTGAGCCAAGGACTCAGAAGACAGTCGAGCCAGAACCTGAGCATCCAGCCCAGGACACAGCACCAAGCAGGCACCCTGGGCATGTCACAGAACTATCAGCCAAGGATGCATCAAACCAGCACAGTATCGGCATCTTGCACTAGAATTCTTTGCCTCTTTGAAAATCCGGGGCTATGTTAATGATACATACATGGAAAAAACAAAAAAAGATACATCAAAAGAAAAGAGAGTCCCAACTTTAGGGAAAGCAGAATACTTTGAAAGAAAAGAAAATATGCACACACACACACACACACACACACACACGCACGCACACCACAGAACAGGGACCAGCCTTGAGGACATGTACATCTATTTAAGGCTGACAACTTGTACACAAAAAGAAAAGAGAGACCCACCTCTAGGGAAAGCAGAATACTTTGAAAGAAAAGAAAAAATACACACACACACACACACACACACACACACACGCACGCACACCACAGAACAGGGACCAGCCTTGAGGACTGATGGTATCACACATCCTTGCAAACTGTGGCATCACACAGAATCAGAGGAGTTAAATAGCAACCAGGATTCCCTCCGAGGGGCTGATGGGAAGAACAGCTAGGAACAAGCTAAGTCCTCACGTTCACAGACAACAGGTAAAAGATCGTGCTTGGAAATGAAAAACAGTGCACAGTCCACGTGCATGATTTTTAAACGGCCAGACCGAGACAAATGCATTAAAGCAGTTACACCCCTCGGCATCCAGACTGAGATCGAAGAGGGAGGATGAAAGCGTTTCCGTTGTCACCTGAATATTTTAGGACTGACGGACAGACGGTAATATAGATAACTAGGCAGATGGCAGATGGATATTTGATAAATAGTAGGTAGCTGGATGAATAGATAGACAGATATACACAAGTGATTAATAAATGATGATAGATAGATGATAGAGAGTTGATAGATGCAGGTGATTGACAGATAACAGATATGATAGCCATAGATGATTGATAGGCATAGAGAGAGGTAAATTCATCAGGGATGGTCAGTAGGTAGATGTGATCAGTGATTGACTCATAATAGATGATAGATGATACATATAGATAGGTAATAGTTTATAGATAGATGATAGACAGACAGATAGATGATAGATACAGACAGACAGGCAGACAGACAGATGAACAGATGACAGAGTTGAAGAAAACAGAACCTCAGGTCAAAGCTCTGAGGGTGAGGGCAGTCTGTAGGGAGCAGCAGTCAGGTGAGGAAATTTAGAATCTTCAACGTACATGAAGCATATGCCTTCCTCCTACAAGTGCCTTAGGACTCCAGTAAAGATTGGATGATGGTGTTAGCCAGCGTGATGGTTACGTTCATGTCAACTTGGTTGGGACAAGTTCCACACGGTGGACATTTGGGGGTGTTGTGAGGGTGTTTTTAGAGGACGTTAACATTTAAATTGGTGGGAGCTGAGTAGAGCAGACTGCACTCCCTAGAGTGGGTGGGCTTGACTAGTAAGAAAGACTGCCCTCGAGTGAGGCACAAAGGAAAAGAAGATAAAGAGAGAAACAAGCAGGTTAGGGAAGACAGGGCGGGGCCTATTACAGGGTCCCACTCCCAGGATGCCAGTCGTTCTTGAAGGGGTTCAGGAGGGAACAGCCTGAGACAGGCCTGGACATCGCTATGGTCATGATCACAGCCAGATACTAGCTAGGCCAGGCCAGGCCAGGGACTACTCCAAGTCTGGGTCTGCTCAGAGCCCAGCAAGAGCAAAGGATTGGAGGACCCAGGTGTGAGGAGTGAGAGCTGCAGCCTTCTTCAGACTCCTAAAGCTTGTTCTAAACACACCCTCTGGGCCCAGGCACAGGGAGCACACACTCAGCACAGAAGATGCTTGACATGGCCACCTGTCACAGGCACTGCCCCAGGGGTGGACGGGGCTGCAGCTGGCTCAGGTATGGAAACCTTGTACCATGCTGGCTAACATCAGTGCCAGCCTCCAGCCATCTTGGCAGCAGCTCTGACCCACACGTTCTGTGAAGGTGTCTGGGTCTTTTCCGGCATCACCTGCTGCCCACATAACCCATCGAGAAAGGCTGCAACTGAGTCTCTGACGGAGCTGGAGTGACTCTGAGCATCCCTCAGGGAAGGTAGATAGGTCTCCATCCACAACTTGCACCTGGCTTCCTGACATACCTCCATGGATGCCTGCTCTCAGGATAGGTGGAGTCACAGCAGGCCAAGGACAGGAGGGTGCTGTTCTGGGCCCAACAACAGCAGGTGTTTAGCCCCAGGGCACAGGACAAAGAACTGCCCTGAGATTCAGCCCCATCTATGCAGGTCAGAAGGGGACAGGAGC